TCATATAGTTCCAACTGCCTTCCACCTAGTTCTTGCACCAAGCTGAAACAATGAATGGTTGAAGTTAAATGGGGACAAAAGCAAACTCCACTTTTATAGCTATCTAAAACACAGATGTATTAATCACATCAGCTAAACATTCAAGGTGGAAAATGGCCCACTGCAGTTAAAATTACCCACTCTCTGTTAGCAACCCTTCTATCACACTAGATCATAAAACATGTTAATAGTGTTTTGGCCTAGGAGCGTCATACAAAAGAAAATAATAAAATGGTTAAAGAAATTTCCCAAGGAGGAATAAGTTCATTCTTTAATGAGTTAAGAGTAGACACTTTCTTATAAATTTGCTGACAGTCATGAGAATTTCTGAGCTCCTTCCCCTTGTTTATGAAACCACAGGGTGATAACTTTGGGTTTAGTGAAGATAAAGAAAGATCTGTAAAGGTCAGTAATACCTTTTAATGAGAGAAATAGTTTCATTAACGGACCTGCTGCTCACAAACGTAAGTAGCACAGAATTCAGATTTTCTTAATTTTTAGTCATCTATGATAATATTTTTACAGTTTGGGGTTTTCATTATTAGTAGCTAATAACATATTTGTTACCTGATAGCCATCATTGTCATCTGGGCAAAGGACAAACTGCACATCTACCTTCTTCTCAGGCTGTGCCCTGGCAAAATTTAAAACCTCTTCAATCATGATCTGTGCCACTACACCAATAGGCAGCATTGATGAGCAAATGCCATTTGCTGGAAAAGAAACTGAGGGAGATTGGCATTCCCGAACATAATGCAGGCATCTGGTCATTGCAGCTTTTAATTCCTACATGGAAAACAACTGGTTTAGTCCCCACATCACTCAAGATGAAAATTAATTAAAAACCAATTGAACTGATTATTACCTCACACAGTAACACCGGGTGGTGGTATTGTGGCCATACAGTGTGCAGCACAAACTCACAGGGCAGATTATAGCCTCTTGTTCGTAAGATTTTATAAGATGAAAGATATTCAAGATGAGACTTAAGTTCATCCTGAAGAGCTGAACCTGCTTTTTGCAGCAGTATTCTTGCAACTGGAGAGTAAGGCTCGCCATTCACAGATACAAAATTAACAACATCTGTAGTCTGCCAAAAAAGAGCAAAGTTTCAGTATAATTCAAGTTTACAATATGCAAGCTTTGCTACTATAGAGAGCACTCTTTCTAGGAACAATTCATTTTTAAAAAGCATGGCTGCAGCACATCAGCACATCAGCTGTTTGAAAGATTCTGTTTGAAAGATTCTCTTTCAAACACTGCTAATAAGCACTGCTTATTACTAAGGACAGCAGTGGAATACATCCAAGCATGCACATTCTAGTGGAAGTAAATGCCTACATTTTTTTCTGAAGCCAACAGCGAGCACAAGACCCATTCCAGTCTTTCGAGTGTGTTCAGCAGAATTATTACTGCAGCTATGGAAGTGACCCATACATGCCTCACCAAGTGCAATTCTGCAGCAAATTATCAACAAGCAGGAGAGAACTATGCCTGTGGCTGTTGTTCCAGCCCTTGCTGATGCTCCCCCTGTTACAGGAGTCACCAGACTAGTGGGGTCAGTGCACACAGGGGAACTCCAAAACTATGGTTGCTTCAAATTCCAGTGGAAATACCAGATTCCAACAGGTCTCTTGTATTTCAAATTAAATATGTAAAATGCAAAAATCTTGGTTTTAGAATGCTGATAACAGCAGTAGTTGTTCTAGCTTTTAATTATTGAAGATTTTGTAGAGTTGTAAGACTTTGGAGCAGATTTTCCTCATAGTCTTGAAGGTATGTGGTATTTTCCAATGCTGTATAATTGCTTAATAAAATTCCCCACAGTGTCAACTTTGTGATCTTTCACTGTCACATCAACAAAATTAACTTTCTGTTCAATTAAGATACTTCTTTAAAATAAAAGTTATGATTTGCATTTAGCAAATACTGTATTTTTAAGAGAATGCCTAAATGCCATCCCTGTGATGTAGCTTCCAGTCTAAGAGCTCTGTGGGATTACAATGACTAAGCTCATATATGTTGCCTCATATTTTCTACCTAAGAAGTTAAACAAATTGAAATCTGTGTAAGCTATTTTCAGCTGTTGCAGTGTTTGCTCACTCCAGTGGCAACTATGAGAACATAAATTACAGAAAAAAAGCAAGACAAAAGATAAGAAGAGACTTCTAGGGAATGCATGATAAAAATGTGAACTCCCATGATGTTATAATAAGAGAAACATTAGCATAGGGGTAAGTTATTATTAATCATCCAATCTTTGGCTGCTTCCTATAATGCCATAACAGAATGTATACAAAAAAGAAATAAAAACGTTCTGATTTTTAATACCCATTTAGATAAACAAACAAGCAAGAAAACAAACAAACATAACAAAAAAAAAAAAAAACCAAAACCCAGTAAGCAAAACCAACAACTCCTTGCTGCTATAATTTATTTGTCATTTGTAATTTCTCATCAGGCTGAGAAGATAACTGCTTAGTGGCTCAATATGTGTTCTGAACTCTTGGGCTTCAGATGCTGCAAAGATTGGGAGGCAACTTCTTGTTCAGCATATCATGGAACAGACTTACCTTCTGCTCTTCAAGGACACCTCTTACGACGCTCAAGTGAACACCTCCATGCCTGATGTAAGTTGAAAGCTGGCTTGATGAAGTTGAAAGGGTTTCCTCAAGTGAACTGGTATCACCCAAAAACTTTTCACAGGCCTTCTTAATTTCTTCAACTATAGGCTCATAAGGGTTCACCAGGTGGATTTCCCTGAGACAGCTTGGTGGACTGGTCTCAATAAATTCCTTTATAGCCATTACAATCACTTGAGCACACAAATTGACTGGGAAGCAAAAAATACCTGAACTCACTGCCGGGATAGCCACAGATTTTATACCATTTTCTGGAACAGTAACATACCTCAGAACATTCCAGATTGCTTCCTGAAGTAGGTCACAACATCTTTCCTTTTCAGAAACAACCCACAATGGACCAACTGCATGAATGATTTTTTTACAAGGGAGCTTCCCTCCACCTGTCACTGCTATTTTGCCAGCTGTGAGATTTCCATGCTTTTGAATATAATGATTGCTTTCTGCTTGTATTTCTGGCCCTCCAGCATTCACAAGGGCTAAAGCAAGGCCTCCTGAATGATTAAGAAATTTATTGGCTGAATTCACCAAAGCATCAGCCTTGTGTCTTGTAAGATCATCCTTACAAACACAAATCTCAATTCCCTGCTTTGTTTTTTTCCTGTATACTTCAACAGTGCGTTTTGTATCTTTGAAGGTCAATGTACAAGCAAACTTTCTGTAAAGAAGTTTACTTAGACAGTCCTCTCTTTTCTTAAGAGCTTCATAGGCATCTTTATTGATGGAAATCATCAAGCTGTCTTCATCCATTACCATGCTTGGCCCTAGGATACAGAATAATATGAAGTGAAATCCAAGATACTACTGTCAAAACATTACTTTTTATATAGAAGTGTGGTTTATAGCTCTCAGTTGTATCCTACTCTCATTACCTACCAAATTTTTGGCAGAGTCTGATCTCTCTGCCTTTTGCACAGGCTTAGAAAGCCCAACTAAGCACTAAAAGATGACAATAAAGTCACTGAGCCTGCCGTGACAAGGATTTGAGTTTGCCTTACTGTTTACCTGAGGAGGAAACCTGGTTAAGATGCATCTCCCCCTGCTGCTTGTTCTCCCTCTCTCACTTGCCTACCGTTTATTCTCTCCCGATAGAAGCCTCCTTCTGGCCTCGCCAGGGCATTTTATTTTAGCATTTTGCTACTGATTTCCAGCAAGGTCCAAGAGTGAGCTCTCCAGGCCTCTGCAGAGTCAGTAACTCACAGCTATACTGGCTGAGGAACACTTGCCAATACGTTCATTTCATGATGCCATGGAGACCTTATGCTGATCTTTGTCTAGTTCTGTGGCTCTTTGATTTGCACTTAAATCTCACATCAAGTTCTTTCTTAGCATGGAATTCATGAATTCAGAAGGGTTTTTGAAACCACATTTTGGGGGGGGGGGGGGGGAAATAATGGTAAAGAGTGGGGCTGTTTTTACGTTATCACTATGGCTATACAGCCCTCTCCTGTCAGACGTCAGCAGCACTACCTACAGTACTTATGTTAATTACTGTAAATGAATTTGTATGAGCTTAATCAAACTTTCCTCTGGGGTATGCTGCCTGCTTGTAAAGAGTTTAACATTTTGCCCTTATATACACACCGATTCATCAAAACACTTCTGAGCACTTTTTTTTTAAAAGAGAAATGCAAGCAAATCCTGTTGAAGCAATGGTTAATAATGTCTAATTCACACATCCCAGGTTGCTTTTGGCTATTTCATATCAATATTTTCTAGTTTTCTCGCTGTGTCTGGAGGTTTTCAACTTAAATACAGAAACACACTTTGCAGATGGCTAAATGAGAGCCTTACCTCAACCGCTCTTCTCTTTAGACGTCTCTGGAGAGTAACTCTATTGCAACGAATACAAGAAAGAGAAAGTAAATGTTACTGCCCGACCGCTGCCTTCCTGCAGGAGGCGTTCTGTTGCAAGCAAACCCGGCACCACACCTTTTCAAAACTAACTACGAGGTGTTCTGATACTTAAAATGCTATTCAGGGCTGAAATTGGGGTGACCGGAGCACTGTGCGTGAAGTCATCCACACCTTACGATAGGTCCGGCTCACCTATGGGTGGTGAGCAGCCGGGAAATTTTACTTCTTTCCGAAAGCCAGGCCAGAAAAGAACGCTTTCTTGGGTTTTTCCGTTTGGGCTTTGGTTTATTCCCCAGGGCCTGAACACCGGTGGCAAAGCTGTGAGGGAGGCCCCGGCCTGGCGCGTCGCACAGGGGCAGGGGCAGCTCCAGCCGCAGCTCCCCTGACCCCCGAAGGGGCTGCCTCCAGCCCCGAGCTCTCCACCCCCCTCCAGCCCCGCTCTGTTACCTGAAGGATCCCCATTAACCGGAGCTGCGTGGCGTGGCCGTCTCCCCCTCAGCTTCGGTCGCGGGAAGGGCGCGGGGCGGAGAACTGCGGTCCCGAGAGAAGGAGCGGGAAACGAAAGCGAAAGCGGGCGGTGGTGGCAGTGGCATTATGGCGGTGTCGCCGTTGCTGGTGCGGCTCTGCCCCGCGCCCGACGCCGGCGAGAAGGTGTTGCTCAAGCTCCAGAGCTACTTCCAGTCAGGGAAGAGGTCGGGGGGCGGCGAGTGCGAGGTGCGAGCGGGCCCTGTGCCCAGTACCTATTGGGTGCTTTTCCAGCAGGAGCAAGGTACGTACGGGCTTGGGGAGAGGGGCTAGGACGGGCGGTGCGGCTCTAAGCCGGCAGGATCCGCGGCTCCGCATGGTCCCGCCGCCGGCACTGAAAGGTGAGGGGGCTGCTCGCAGTGACCGTGTGAGGGGGCTGGCCATGGCTGCCATGGGCACCACTGGGTGGGCAAGCGGTAGGTGGTCCCTGTGACAACCCGTTGTAGTAGTCAAGCTGTCAGGTAACTTTATCAGCCCTGTCTGTCTGTCTCCAAATTACTGCAGATAAGAAGAGTGTGGAATCTCGCACGGATCACGTTGTGGAAATCGGTGCCAGGCATCTGAAGATAGTCATTCAGCGGGAAGAAGGAGACCCGAGCAAAAGCCAGTTTACAAAGCAGGCATTCCCTAGCTGCCCCATCCCCGCCGGCTCTTCCCCACCTCCTCAGCAGGAGCAGCAGGCAGCCAAAGGCCATGGAGACACCACAAGAGAAGTCATTACCAAAAAGGTACACCAAGAAGAGCAGTAACAACCAGTGCCATGACTGCTTGTAGTTTCACAAGTCCTTTGTGTTGCTTTATGTTGTGCTTCAATATTTCAGGACAAGTATGTGCATTCATGTTACAGAATGTTCAGTGTCAGTTACATTATCTTAGTCAATAAAATGGGGGCAAGGAATGACTTCGAAATGGTGTACCACAGATCATCCATACATGCTAACAGGCACCATGTTCTCCAGCATGGCTTTGGTATGTGCCAACCACTGTTCCTCAAAGCAGCACCCTGATAGGTTTCAGGATATGGAATGCACTGAGGATTGCTCCCAAAAGGTGGAAGAATTGTATAATTCAGCCCTAATTGCTTCCACCCTTTGCCTCAGTGTTAAAATTATCTGCTCTGATGTGGTGCAGCACAGCAAACACTATTTCAGACACTTTAAAACAGAAGTTATGCATAAAAGACGAACTGTGTGTTAGGGACATGGGGTAGGGCCAGGCTACGCATTACATGATGTGGACGTGACTCTACAGAGACTGACAGCTGCCCCCAAAGGGTTTACCATGTTTTGTGTAGTATAACAGGTATAGCATGTGCTAACATAGTGGTTAACCTTGCATCTGTAGCAGTGTACTGCAAATTTCTCTATCCTTCTGTCTGTGCAAAGTAAAGATGTGAACATGCTTGTTATTTTTCAGAATCCCGTTTTCTGCTTTAACCCCGAGTTACTAAAGCATGACTTTTTTTAATATAATTAAAGAACAATGCAATATTAAATGTTCTGTTAAAACATCCTGTAGCTCTGTTGCTAGATACTAAGGGAAGAGGCAGTTTCTTTTGGGGAAGTTTGGCAGAATGGTGATGGGCCCAAGTTATAGTTACAATTAAAGCTTTATTTTTTTTTAACAGGATTCTATGATTAACATAGCATAGAATTAATAATCAGAATAGCACAGGATTTCTACATGCAGAATTCGTGTAGGACAATTTTATAAATAGCATAGCACTGAATTTTATAGCAAATCTTAGCTTGTGGTTTCTAATCACTTCTGCAGATCATGTCAAATCTTAGTACTTGGCTTGCTCTATCGATGTAACATATCTAGACTTGAAAAAACACATGAAACTATGAGTCATTTGCTCAGTTCTCAGACGAAGCAGAGAATGCTGGAGGTATCTCTGGCCACTGGAGGATCATGGGTCTCACTGTTCAGGAACAGTTGTGATCCAGGTTCCCACCTGGCACTTGTAACTGCTTGATTTTGTAGACAGTGCTCTGCATGCTGATTAGCTTCAAGGCCAGTAAGGAGAGGAGTAGTTGGCCTGGTGCTCAGGAACCTTGAGGATTGTAGGGAGAGGAAGAAGTCTGTTAGCTCCATCTACTTGACACACAGGACCTTCAGGGCATGATAATGAGAGGGGAAAGGGACTAATATGTGACCAGCTTAGTTACAGAGAATGGCTGTTTGCTTTATTAAATGGTATTAGATATGTTAACTGTATAACTGGAAGTCAGGAGCAGAGGATACTGGTCACAGTCTCAAAGTAGCAAAGTTATCATCTTTGTTCCTGCGATGCTGATGACAATAATTTCCATTTTTGCTGCTGACTTGGAAGCAAATCACTACTTACATATGTGTAATGTCAGTATACATGACAGAAGAGAAATACTATGTGCAAATGTGTCTATAGTAACCTGGCCCCACTGAGATGTACCAGAGCTTTTCCTTGCTGAAAATACAGAAGCAGCAAGCAGACGAACTTAGAAAAAATAAATACTGATTTCTTCTTATGTTTTTAGATATTTCTTACAGTATCTGCGACTCTGAATACGAGTATGTTCACTGAACAGCAAAAGAAGAGAATTACCATTATATGTCCAAATTTAAAGAGAGAAGGAAATCCTGATATTGATGGATCTGAGAAACTGACAGGAGATTTTGAAGACATTGAAAAAGCTTATTACTACTTTAAGGATATCCTTTCAGGCAATGACCCAAACCTTGATTTTACACATTCTGAAAGTAAGAATAGTTTGAAAGATGAAAATGGTCTGAATACTGAAGAAGTGAATGAGTTTATAGTTCCATCAGCTCTCTATGAATATTTCAATCATACCTGTAAAGAGCAAATCAAAGAACTACGTGCACGTTTTGGGGTGTGTATAACAAGTAAAGATCATTACAATGGAAACACATCAGTAGGCTTTATTTCTGGTAGAAGTCCTGCATCAATACAACAAGCTAGCGATTTTTTTATCAGAACTTTTCAGAAAAATGTGGAAAACCTGAGACAGGAAGAACTTCCAGTTGCAAACAGCTACACATTAAGTGAGATAATAGCAAAATTAAATGCTAAGTTTAGTAACCTTCTTGCCAAAGAGGAAGGGAATCTGTTGCTACTTCGTGGTCCCGCAAGTGAGATTTTAGCTGCTAAAAAAATTCTAGCAGAGGAAGGTGAAAACAGCCAAGCTGAAAAGAATTTGAAAATGTCATCTGAACTGTACAAATACAGGAATGGAATTGAAGTTGATGCTTCTATGTTCAAGTTGTTTGAGACAATATTAAGCAAAGAAATTGAAGACATTAAAGACAAGTTTGATACCACAATTGAAAAGAGAGATGTTTCATATGACCAGAAGATGCTGATAATATTTAGGCCAAGGATCAAAACTTTTGATATGTCTTCACATGCTGCTGAGTGTTTCATCAATGCATTTCACAGTGCCTTTGCAATGTTAAGAGAAAAACTCATCAGCTTGAAGCTTTCAGAAGGTCAGAAGAAAAGATTAAATATGTTACTTAACGGGAAGCAATTGGAAAACCTGCATGTAAAGCTTAAGAAGGAAGAAGACAAATTGATGTTAATTGGCTTACCAAACCATCTTTCTGATGCTGAAAAGTACATTATGAACTTTCTTTCCATTGAAGACTCAACACAAAGTAAAAATAGGACACCACTGACCTCTGATCTCAGCTATCAAGAAGATACAGGAGCATCTGAGAAGAAATACAATGGCAGGCAAAAGAATAATCTTACTTCGGAAGGACCGGCTAAGGCAAAGACAGAAGCAAATGACAAAGATACGTGTCCAATTTGCATGGAGATAATTAATAACAAAGAAACACTGAGAAAGTGCAAACATGCATTTTGCAAAAGTTGCATCGACCAGGCCATGACTTACAAGCAAGCTTGTCCTATTTGCAATACTTTCTATGGAGTCATGAGAGGAGACCAGCCAGAGGGGAGAATGTCAAGTAGAATTCTGTCTTCAGCTCTCCCTGGTTATCCCAGTTGTGGTACTATTGAGATTACATATAATATGCGAGGTGGCATTCAAACTGTAAGTATAAGGATTTATAAAAGAGATTTTTCCCACAACAAAACCAATATTGAACATAAAATAACTGTATTCCTATCATTTTGATGCACTTCCAGGAGTCACATTTCTTTGTTCTGTACAAATCTGCAAGTATTTAATTCAGTATTTTTGGGTGCAATTAAGTAATGCAGTAGGAATTAAAAGTTAAGTAGTAGCCTTTTTAGTTGCAGCAGGACAGAGCTACCTGTCTGTAGTTTGCACACTGGGAATAACTGAACTGAAATCTATGGAGTAATACCATTTAAACAACATTTTGTGAGTGTAGTGAGTATTTTCTGGGGAATTCTCTTAGCTGCAGACACCAATGGTCCAAAATGAATAACAAGCTGGCTTGTAAGCTTTTCAGGTGAGATATCAGCTTATGTTCTGTGCTTAGAAGTCATGACTAAGACTAAAAATGGGATAAATTAAAAACTCGGGGGTGGGGTGACATGCATTTCAGAGAGCAAAGATGAGAAAACAAATTTTAAAATAATAATGGATGCATGAGTGATGACAAGAAAATGTGAATGAAACTTCTATGAAAGAAATCATCTAATGAGAAAACTCCTCAAAATCAGTCATCAGTCATACTATGTCTTCCTAAGTCAAAGATGGGATAAAGACTATTGCAAAAGCTGGGATGTGTCATTTTCATGCTTTCAAAACATTTATGATATACAATGGCTTTGTTTTCTTTTTTTCTTTTTTTTTTTTCTTCTTTTTTTTCTAAAACAGAACAACCATCCAAACCCAGGGAAACATTATTCTTCAACTTCTCGAAAAGCCTATTTACCTGACACTAAAGAAGGGCAAGAAATTCTGCAGCTCCTCAGAAAAGCCTTTAACCAAAAACTGATTTTCACAGTGGGGGAATCACGTACTACTGGTGCAACAGATGTTATCACATGGAATGATATTCACCACAAAACTTCCATGGTGGGAGGACCTACCAAGTAAGTAGTCTTCTCTTTATGTTATTTTATTGCTCTTCATGTAATTTTATTTATTAGATGAGTCAGGATGGTTATCCTCAATATTTTCCATGTTAGAGCATTCAGATTTTGTTATTGACAAAGTGATGGTGGAATGCTCTATGGATCCAGACTTGAATGACCTCACCAGTTCAGACAACTAAAGAGTCCAAACAGCTGGTCAGGATGAGCTCAGGCTTCTGTTGCCCTTCAGGCCACTCATTCACCAGTGAGCTGTGTAAAGCACCTACTCAGTTAACAACTTATCTGGTTAGAAACTACTTATAGTACAGGACAGCGAGCTCTTGATAGCAGTGAAGGTTGGACTTCTGATCCTGGCCTCTTCTGTTACCTGCTGTTTTGCACCAGGAGGTGCTGATCTGTTATGACCGCAGTAAAGACAGCACTCGGACTTCGTAAAATGTCATTTGAAATTCTACATATGAAGGCTAACGGCAAGAAGAGATTGTAGTATAGATATGGTTCTGTTCTTTTAGATGCTATGAACCCTGAGTTGTACAGCATTCAGTGGGTTTCCGATCAGAGAAGAGGATACCATGCCAACCACATCCATACAAGGAGTTACTTCATTTTGGTCGTTCGAGCTATTATAGGATTTTCTTAGTAGAAGAGAAACTCTGTTCAGTATTTCTTGAGGACTTGCTGCACTTCAAGATAAAGGCAAGGATACACAGGTGGTGTAATCACCAGGACCAGGTGGGAGCTGCCCGAGTCTGTCACACAGCCATGGGATGTGCACAGCACAACACAGCCCTGAAGGTCATGCTGCACATCTAGCATAGCACAGCATGGCACAGGCCTGGGCCTGCCCCAGTGAACTGTGGATCACTAATTCCTCAGTGTATAGCAGCCTTCTGGTCCACATCACTACATTCCACCCCTTAATGCACATACCATTGGCCATTCTGAAAGATACGATTAACTGCAGATAATATCAGTAAAATTTGGCTCCTGGGAAAAGTCTTACAGAGATAAGAGGAAGTCTTGGAACAATCCGTTCAAGCTTGTTTAAACCTCTTAGGAGCAGGTGTCTTCTTGCAAGCTCTCAAGGTTTATGTCTAGATCCCCCTTCTTGGGCTAGGATCATAAAAGGACAGACAGTATCAGTTTTACTTTATCGCTTCCTTTGCCCAGCTGCTCGCCCTTGTTATCACTTGCTTCATACCTACTTTTAGTGATGCACTACTTAAAATGTAGAAGTGCTATTATATTTGTGTTTTGGATGCTCACTTGGATACACTTTGCCTCTGCTTTTACAAAGATGCATGCCCAAGTGCCCTATCATTTTCAAGTGAGACAGCTGGCAGCTTTGAAAATCAAGTTATTGGTGTCAGTTTGGGCAACCAAATTCAGCCGTTTCTTAAGTTTTTAGCTTTACAGACGTGCTACCTCTCTAATCTGAAAAATAGGATCTGTTTTCTCTGTAGATTAAGAATGAAGTGCATAAAATTTGTAAGGTGTTCTAAGAGATTTGGATGAGAAGGTTCTGTAGAACTGTGAAGTGTTACAGTGCAGAAGTATTCTTTTTTTCTTTTCCTAGCTTTGGTTATCCTGATCCTGATTATCTGCACCGGGTTCGATTGGAATTGAAAGCAAAAGGAATTGAATAAAGGAATTTATCAACTGTCAACCCTTAAGTGCAGTAACTGAACACGTAGCAGTTAATTTACTATTCAATCGCTAAGAAGAAATTACTTTGTTCGACTGCTGCACTTAAACCACTTGTATTTCTCAGTCACCTAAGAAACGTAATCTTTCTCATCAAGTGATATATGCTCTTTTTACGCATCATTTACTTCCTCAAATAATGCTTCTTTAAATGTGTAACATTTACAGAATTTGGGTCTTGTGAGTGCAGTATCAGTACTCATTGTACTTGTCAAATTTCAAATTGTGTATCTTATTTTACCAGTGAATCTGATCTGCACTTTTTTCCCCACAAGTCCTCAGCCTGATCACTACTAGCTTTTATTTGATAAAATGCTTTAGCTTGGTGTTATTACATCTATTATCATGAATAGTATCAGGTAACTCATCTGCCTAGAAAATTTCTGTGCAACTGTTACAGCATCAGCTGTGATCAGGCTGAGATCTTTCACTGATTTTCCTTTCCAGGGTAGAAATGGCAGTAGTGGTTTGGGGTTTACACGTTAAATTAACATGGATAATTTATGAGAGGATATGTGGATGCTGCTGCGGTGGTTTTAACCTGTAGGAGTGCTAAATGCTGAGACACCTTTGAGTGAATGGAAAGTAAATGGTGCCTGTGGCCATCTCCGATCAGGGGGTCCTGGTTCTGTGCCTTCCATCGCGTTTGAACTTTAATACAACTTTTATGTCAGCTTTACAGCTATAAAACTATATTCTTCCATTGGTTCTAATATATGCTTTAAATTATATGACAAAGATACCTTGTTGCTGTGCTCTGCACAGTCTAAATAGCCTTGATAATTACCTTTGGGGGGGTGTAAAACAAGAAACTTTTGCATAGTGCAGCCATAATTTTTAGTGAGTTAAACCATTTTTGTTAGGCTATTGAATATAACCAATAAATAAAATACAAAAATACCATCTGCCCAGTTCTGCATTTTTCTGTACAGCTTTTCCCTCATGTTTTAAATAAGTATAGTTGTTTTGGTTTGGTTTTTTATTTAGGAATTTACCACCAGCACCTGACTTGGGGTGATTTGGACCCCATGCCACTTTCTTTTTTCTTCTCTTTATTTTAGGTTCCCACATTGTAAATAGGCAGTATTACTTTACCTCCCTGACTTTCATGTGTCATAGTATTAGCACTGTTTGGTTTCCATGTGAGTTACAGTGTCTTTTCTACTGTGGTTTTGTTTTACCACGTTTGTTTTCACATTTTACACTATTTCACATTTTCTCCTTTTCTGTGCAGTAAGATACTAGCATTCCAGTTGTTTCTAAATGGCTGTGCTTTTCTGCACAGTGAAATAAGTTGTGAATGTCAAATCTCCCCAGTTTCTTTCAGTCGCTCATGTTGCTTTCTGTCTCAGTTAGCCACTTCTTCAGTGTTGGGCCCCTGTCTGATAACTCACTGACTCCCATTTTATCTGTGGCAAAGTTTGCAGACTGAGTTTTGCAGTGGAGTCCTGGTGACTGTCTCTGAAATCTCCCAGACCTTTATCCTATAACCAGCTGCACCGTTTATGAAGAAACTTACCTGATCTGCTTTCAGAGTCAGATATTGGATATAAGGAAAAAGTTCTTTACCGTAAGGGTGGTGAGGTACTGGAATGGGTTGCCCAGGGAGGTTGTGAATACTCCATCCCTGGCAGTGTTCAAGCCCAGGTTGGACAAAGCCTTGGGTCGTATGGTTTAGTGTGAGGTGTCCCTGCCAATGGCAGGGGTGTTGGAACTAGAAGATCTTAAGGTCTACTTTGCCTGGGTTACAGCAAGGGAGGAGAGCATGTGCCTGGACAAACTGTTGAGAGAACAGTAAATTAAAAAACATAAGATTAATGGCCTACTGAGAAACAAAGGCATCCCCATGGGCCCACTCAGCATATCTAACAAAACCAATTTTCATTTATCTGCTATTTTAGCGTCTCAGATTTGGGCACATTAGTAAAATACACAGCAAGAAATAGCTGAAACTTTGCAAGGGAAAGTCCTGGGCACATGGCTGAAAATGCCTCAGCTAGCTGACACATTGGTCTGAGGAACACTCTTTCATAGAACCATAAACTGGTTTGAGTTGGAAGAGACCTTAAAGATTATCTAGTTCCAACCCCACTGCTATAGGCAGGGACACCTTACACTAGACCAGGCTGCTCAAACCCCCATCCAACTTGACCTTGACACTTCCAGGGATTGGGCATGTGAAATAGGAGCTCACTCCTCTAATCAAGATAACAGAGTTTTATTGAGGGGCAAAGTCAATAAAGCAAAAGCAACAATGCTGGGCATGTGACCGTCTCCAGAGGCGCACTGATTAGCATTTGTTACAGGTTTATATACTTTCACTATTGCATTAGTCATATACGTATTCATAATTCCTGCATAAAGGCAGGGAATATTATAACTAGCTCCAGGATCTTATTATCATAAGTCTCTTCCTTTTGACGGTGATTGTGGGCAGGGGTCTTGAGGATGAAGTAAGCAGTCTTCCTCATGCGGGCAGGGGTCTCCAAGATGAAGTAAGCAGTCTTCCTCACAGTGTACTTTTCACCTTTGGCACAGTTGGATGTCCCAGCAATCACAAAACTAGCTGAAACCAGCCAGATCTGTAATTTTTCCAATAGCTGGCAAAGATTTAGAACAGTGTGACCTTCATCCAAAACTTACTGCAAGCAAAACAGAATGGGCAGACAAGGAATATCCCAAGCTAGCAGATGTTTGGGAGGCACTATCTCTAAACTAACTGATAAGTAGAAGGGTGGTGTGAAGTAATTCACTCATGTTTAGTGGGGCTACTAAATTCTGTTATCTCACCAGTCTTACAACACAAACATTGCTCTTTATCTTCAACCTAAGTTAAACTAGAAGTACTTTAACCCTATGTTTTCCAGGCACTAGCTTTCCTCATATCAACATACCCCTCACACCCACCCCTCCCCCCCCACCCCTTTTTCTTTGACCTTTACAAATTCTTTTGCTATGTGACTCCATTTTGCTCAAGAGTTCTGGCCATTTCAACTTGTTGTCTAATCTTGTGTCTTTAGCGAGCTTTGCGAACTCATACAGTTATATCCCCATAGCAACACCTATGATTTGCGAAAGCCAACACATTTATGTGTTTACCACAGGCATCCACAGCTTCTCTGGGCAACCTGGTCCAGAGTCTCACCACCCTCACAGTATTTCTTCCTAAGAAATACTAATTCGTTGCAATCGTGCACAGTGATAGAAGTATTTCTGATGGAGAATAATGGAAACAGGTAGTTTCACTTTGTGCCACGACTTGGTTTCAAAACGTAAGGCAGGGAGTGCGAGTATTGCCCACTGCCTGAGTTACAAGCTCAGGCACTGAGAACGGCTGCATTTGTAAAACCAGGTTCTGCCGCGGCTCTGGGCAAGTCCCGCGTTAACGCTCACGGCCTCCCGAGCAGAGCTGGCTGTGTAGCCAAGGCTGCTTACGGAGGCCGGCGTGAGGACCCTTCCTGCCCGCCGAGTGGAGTGGCAGCGCTTCCCTCGCAGGGCGGAGCCCGGCGCTGCTTTCGCCTCCATCGCTGAAGAAATGAAACCGAAACTGAAGGGGTTGGGGCTGTGGTGTAAGTGCGGCCATGGCGGGGCAGCGGCCGGGCGGCTTCCCGCTGCTGGTGCGCGGCGACTGGGGCTCCGCCGAGCCCCCCCGAGCCCTGAGGAAGAAGCTGCTCCGTTACTTCCAGAGCCAGAAGCGCTCGGGCGGCGGCGAGTGCGAGCTGCGGGCCGGGACCGCGACCGGGCACCTCCTCGTCTGCTTCTTGCACCCCGAAGGTGAGCGGCCGAAATAGGGCCATCAATGGCCGCTACCCGCGTTTGGGAACGGGAGGTCCGGCGGTGGCATCCCTCCCCTCACCGGTGTGTGTCGTGTTGACAGTGAGGCAGCGGGTGCTCGACCGGCGGGTGCATGAGCTTGAGTGGAAGCCCAGAGGGCAGCTGTCGCTAGTCGTCACCGAGCTGCCTGCGGACGGCTGCCAGGCGCAGGTGAGGCAGGCGGGTTGGCGTGGAGGGCGGCCGGGCGAGCGGGGCCGCGGTAACCTCTCTCCTCCGGTTCCGCTTGCAGGAGGTGGCACCAGTTGGCGAGGCCGAGGCGTCAGGTAGGGTCTTCGTGAGGCGCGGTGCGGGGCCGGGACTGCGGTTCTGGACACCCCTGGGTCGGGGGAGGGAGGGACAGGGAACGGCGACAGAGCCGTCTGCCCGTCAAGAGCTTGCCCAGGCTGGCGTAGAGATGTGCTCTGTCATTTCACCACCTCCACCGCTCCCCTTTGTTTTTTTAAACATAAATTTAATGTAATTTATAAAGGATAGCCTTTAAGTAAACTCCAAGACATGCATAAAACCTGAACGAACTACCTTTCCATGCTGATTTTGTTGTGGTTCCAGCAGACATCATCTGTGTTCTCCTTGCGGACCAGAGTTGGCTAGTCACACATACCACCTGTATCCTACATGCAAATGAGTTATTTGTACCAATAAGAGTGGTGCACAGGTGAAGATCGAGGGTGCAAGGCCAGGAAAGCAGCTTGACAGATATTGCCATTACCTTTTGGTTTCTAATTTAGCTGTGTTCCTTATTGTTTCAAGCCAGCAGGTAGAGATGTGGTGCAGTCAGCATACATCACGATAGACACTTTTACAGGGGTGCTTGACTTCTAAAGGCACTTCCTTCCAGGGTGGGTTGTCCTCAACGGATTTCTTGTTTAACACACAGTTCCTCTGTGAGGGCTGTGCTGTAATGCATGAGAGAATGTGCTTGCAGGGGTTAATGAAGAATGATGGTGTGCTAGTTTGGTTTTTAACATTATGCCTGAGGCTTCTTGAGCTTAAAGGGTGTTTTTGTGACCATGCTTGACATATGGTTTGCAAAAAGTAATATATAGAAGTTTGTGATTCTGGCAATGTCAAATAAAACTAAATTCAATCTGTGCTAGCTCCTGGTACAGTACGAGTGTGACTCTTCTTCTTGAAGTATCCAGTGACTGAGAAATCATTGTAATTTATGTACAGTTAATGAACCTCAGGTGTCACTTCCCACCTGCCAGAATAAGGAAGCTTACTCTGTGTGAACTCAGCAGAAGACAGGCAAGCGTGACACTTATCAGACACCACTGTATTCTTGCTTCATTGGTTTTCATTGACCTCTGTGCTGCAATTGTGCCCTGGTCACTTGGGTGGCTTGTGGTGTTTCTCTAATGTAGTGTAGAAATAACGATCTTGAGCTTAAATAAGTAAATAAGTATCCTTTTTTTTCCTCTGTATGAGTTCCTTTAGGAAATTCCCCTCTTCACTGGCTACCTCAGACATGTCAGTTCCTTAGGGATAGCATGCAGTGGATGCTGGGTTCTGGGTCACGTCCCTACACAGAGATTCCCTGCTGCCACCAGCCCTGCCGGGGAGACCTGCGATAGAACATCTATCTGTAGCTGTGTATCCCAGGTACACCTGAGCTCTGGTGGCACAAAATGTGTAGACCCAGCAACCACACCAGTGGCTGGAACTGTAAATGAAGGGACAGAAAAGTGACGGATACCCTGATCATGGATTTGTAAAGAAGCTTTCATAGCTATTATTTATGCTGCTCTTGCCTGGGGATTAATGGAAGCCTTTTCTCCTTACCTGTTCAGACAACAACTCATTCTGTGATATTCTCAGCTTATTTGGGATTTGAAGGCTGTTGTGATAAAAAACAACACCTGAAATACTATTTGCCTGTTCTTTTTCCTCGTCTTATTTATGATCTGAACAAAAAGTGTTGTGAAAACTTGGATGATAATAATATTGGGGTTTGCACTAGGAAGTGATGTTTCATTTTAGGATCATGTGAGAAACTGGAAGTGAAGAAAGCAAGCCCTAGGAAATCTGTCATAGTAGTAACCACTGCCTCTGGGGAGGAAATAGAAGATGAGATTGTGGAAATGTACTTTGAAAATAAAAAGAAGTCTGGTGGGGGGACCATTAAGTCCTACGTCAAAAAAGATCAACAAATGATCATCACCTTTCAGGATGAGGAAGGTATGATTGTATCCTTTGGCTGTTATATTACTAAAGCTCACTTCTAAATATAGGCCTTTACCAGTGCTGGCTCTCTTTGTGGGCATTCATCCATTAGAAATGGTGTATTATTCTGAAGTGTGGCAGGATGTAAAAGGAACAAATGTACCTGTCCATTCAATACAGACGTGTGCTTCTGACAGTGGTTCTCTAGAGCTGTCCCAAGTACGTGGATCAAGGCTGACAGAGAATAATGCTGGAGAAATGATGTCAGGAGACCACAGAATACATAAGCTTTAATTCCAGTTTAGGAGACTAGATAAAGCATAGTACATTATTAACTGCAAATCATGGGTAAATACTATTGTGTTGTATTTTCTTTCATATTCATTCCAGTTGCCAGGGTTTTGAGAACTGGAAGGAAAGGTTGTAGTACATAAGTATTTATATGACAGAGAGGTGAATACTTACCTTTATGGTGAAAAAGATTTTTTAAAATAGCTTCAATTTACCTGTTTTTTCCTCTGTTTTCCTCTACACTGAAGTGCTGTTGGCTTTTTGTTAGTGTGTGAAGGATCTATGCAGAAAGAGGAAACTGTTTATGCAGAAAGAATAGTTAAATATAATTAAATATTTAGCATAGTCAAATATAGTTACATAGTTAATAGTTAAATACACAAGATAAGCAGGATGAAAGACTGTTTCTTTATTTGCTATTTATTAAATGTTACTGATCTGGAGAACAGTTTCTTGCACTTGAAGTGTCCTAGTAGGAGTGAACACAACACAAAAAATAACTCTTTTCTTTTCTCTCTTGGGGGACACTGGGGACATCTAGAACATACAGTAGCTTTTATCCTGACCCTAACATTCAATGTAGTTTTGTCTTATTTCTGTTTTTCTGTGATATAATAAAATATGTCTGGCCAGGCTTTTAAAATAGAGTATAATTTAACATGTTGCTCTGCTATGGCAGGAGGGGAAGGGAAGATCATATCTTTGTTTTCTTGTGCAAATAGATGCCCAAGAAGTTTTGCAAAGGAAGCATCACTCTGTGAAAAAAATTGAGCTGTTTGTGAAGCCATGGGAAGTGGATAGTCTCCAGGAGCCAGGCCAAGTGGAGGACTCTCAAAGATCCCTGCCTTCCACCACAGTTGTGCTTGAAAATGTGCAAGAGACAGTAAAGGACTGCATGTTAATTCTGCTGGTAGAGAACATAAGTGGCTTGTCAGAGGATGATGGTGACTTCAGTGTGGAAATGATACCTGAAATACATGCTGCTGTCATTACTTTTACTGGAAATATTGGTAAGGAGTCAGAGTTGTGGATCTTTCTTATTAGCTACTCGTGTGTGTGTGAGGGAGGCTAATATTTTCTGTCATAGGTATAAAGTTTAATCTGATGTTACATTATTTTAAATGAGGATTTACTCTACTAAAGTTAATGATGTGCACTGGCCTCTATACCTTACAGAAAATAGGTAGAGAGAAGAAGATTAGTAAACCCTCTGATTTGGACAGTAAAGAGAACAGGTAGGACTAAAACCAAAATCTAACTTTACACAAGCAATAAAAGGATGTATTTGGTCTTAGAAAAGATTGATGATAAAGGCTCTCCTTGCCACAGAGTGTCACATGTGTAGTAAGTTTGTATGGATTTGAGGGAAAATTGAACAAGTAGGTGGAACAAAGGTTTTCAACATTATTAAATAGGCTGCATTAGACTGTGGGATCTACTGTAGTAGATTGGAGGCTGGGAGAGTATAAGGGAAGCTGTTCTCTAGAAAGATGACTGCTGTGGTCATTGCTGGAGACTGCACTGCACGGACCCTGGGATGCTGAGGCAAGTGATGCTGTCCTTATGCAGACTAGCAGTTGTCAGTTGTGTGAAGTGTGGGATTAACACCGTGTGCCTTGCCTGATGCTACAGTACCAGCTAGTTATAAGGGTACTGCGTGTCTACTGTGATTTTTTTTTTTTTTAGGGTATTTGATACCCTAAAACATATATACTTTCTCTTCTGCCTTATTAGTGATTTACAGCAGAGGCATCTTTCAGGTGACAGAGAGGTGTTTGCTCCTACTTCTCACCAGTGACACATCAGGGGCACTTCCCGGTTGAATTACGGTTGATATTGTTGACAAATCCCATCCCAGGACATAGGCAACAGTGAGTGATCTGATAAGACCAGACTCAGAAATAGTGTAAGCCAATGCCATAGCTGATGTTGTTGAGATAACAGCACTGTGTTACCAGGAGAACTGAATTACACTGATGTGGTGAACTGATTGCAGGATTCTTCAAGTGCTGCTGCACGTGAGCTCTTTTAGGACAAGGTGATTTTACATGTACTTGATTCTGGGTGAGGAGACAGGATAGGAAAGAAGAGAGAATTCTGTCTTCTGTGTGGAAAAATTGTAGAACTCTTTAGAAGGTAGAACGTGGTGAAAATATGTTATATGCCACTTTGACTCAACTTAGCGAGAACAGTTGTATTATTGGTAATATGTAAGAATGAAGTTGCTCAGGAATCTTAAAGTTGTGAAGGGATTAGTCTGTGGTATAACTAAACCAAAGAAGTTCTTAGTCTCTGAGAAAGTGTTTTCTGCTTTAGAAGTCAGAAACTATTTGCCTTCATATTGTGGTCTAGTCCCAGGTTTTTGGTGTAGCCTTTAGGAAATAAACAGATCCTTTAAAAACTTAATTGTGTGTTTGCCTGGCAAATGTAAAAGACTGTCTTTTACTGTGATGACAACGGGGGAAAACCCAGTGAAAATAGAATGTGTTTATCATAAACCTGAAAGAATCCAGATTTGAACTGTTGACTTATGTCTGATTAGTTTTGTATAAAGCCATAGCCCAAAAATGAACCTGATCTTACTTTTGATTAGGATAGACCCAGTGCTACTCAGCAGGAAAACCAGTGACAGATTCTGGCTACAGTTGATGTAGTCAACAATTGTGATCAACCATGTGGTAAATACTAGGTGACAGATATGTGGAAAGGAGTAGCTTTGTGGGCACCTCTTAGTTGATAGATGCTTTGTAATTCAGTGCTGTGGTCAATGCACACAAGGATAGCCTGCTACCATCATGATAAGAAAGCAAGATACTAGTTTGATCTTGGTTTTTCTTTTACTGTTTCTTTTTCTTTTTTTCTTCTCCTGTTTCAGCTGCAGGGGAATTTGTTGAGAAGTTTAATCAAAACCACAGAGCAAAGGAACAAAATATTACTGCACGGTGCCTTGAGCTAACAAAAAGCATTAGGGCTGAAAATTTACCACCTAACATACCGAGTGACCATATAACCATCTACTTTGAGAATAAGAAGAGTGGAGGTGCACATGTGGAGGAAGTTCAGCAGCTGCCTGATGAAGATGCAGCTATCATTACATTCAATGACCATAAAGGTAATGCAGAAATAAAAATCTTACTTCTTTGAGATCCTTTCATTTAAAGATCCAAATGTGGATTTTCTAGAGAAATGCCTGTTTTGCCCTCATAATACAGTAGGTCTGGTGCTTTGTCAGCAGGTCTCTGCCAACTGGAGTGCAAGCTTACGTTTTAGACCAGCTGAGTTCTTGAGGCCTTGTTCCTGACAGAGTTCAGGTTACAGTTCATCAGAGAAAGCACAGGCCTACCTAGTGCAGGACACATCCCCTCCAGCTGTCACCTTCACCATTAGCTGCCCCGTGGCAATGTGTGCTATCTGGCTTGTGTGAGGACAACTTCTTGGGCAGGTTTTTGTTCAAAGAGCAGGTGCTGTGGTTTGTCCAGCCAGTGACAGAAACATGAGCATCTGTGGAAGGTGGAGGACAAGAGAGAAGCTGGAGGCGCTGCAGTGAAAGGGGAAGCTGGAAGGAAGTTGAAGAAAGTAGATGCTTGTCCTGGGTTTAGCAGTAGCAGTCATTTTTCTCCTTCTTGGTAGCTGGTGCAGTGCTGTGTTTTGACTTTCGGGCTGGGAACAGAGCTGAAAAACAATGATGTTTTGGTTTGGCCAAGGACTTTGTGGGCCTCATGCTCTGCCAGGGAGGAAGGGAAGCCGGGAGGAAGCAGAGACAGGACACCTGACCCAAACTGACAAAAGAGGTATTCCATACCACAGCACGTCATGCCCAGGAGGTAACTGGGAGTTACCCAGAAGGGCTAGAGTGAACTGCAGGGTTGGAGGAGGTATCGGTCGGTGCTTGATCGGGCTGGGGGGCAAGTTATCGGTCGCCTGGTGATGGGGTGTTGTATTCTCTTCCCTTGTTATTTCCTTTATCATTACTATTATTGGTGGTAGCAGTAGTGATTTGTGTTATACCTTAGTTACTAAACTGTTCTTATCTCAACCCGTGGGAGTTGCATTCTTTTTGATTCTCCTCTCTGTCCCTCCGAGAGTAGGGGGAGGGCAAGAAGCGGGGGGAGTGAGTTAACAAGCTATTTGGTTGGGTTAAACCATGACAATGCTCTTTTGGGGGGAGGGGGGAAATGGAGGAGTGATCACTTTATACTGCTGAGTAATAGCCCAGGTAACTACTGAGTTGAGTACTTCAAGTACGGCATATAACAGAAGTGGGGACAGAGCTGTGTGTACCTCCTTAAGGTGGACAGTATTGGTTCCTAAATGTCTGTCTTAGGTTTTGGCATTTAAATAGAGTAACTCTTGAATAATTTGGAATTATTTCTATCTGGGAAATGAATGAAAAACTATTCTTAGACATAAGAAACATTATTATGTAAAATACAAAGTTAAAAAAAATACTCTTTGGTTTTAAGTTCTAGCATAATTGTTTGGGATTTTTGTTTGTTTGTTTTAGATGTAACCAATGTCTTGGCAAAGAAGCATTCACTCAACAAAACACCAATCTTTGTCTATCCTTTCTACACCTCGCTGGGAACAGCTCTATATGGAAAGGAAGGGCCACAAATAAAGAAGCCAGATCCAATTATATTCCCTCTGGATCCATATATCTGGTATTACTTGCTGCAAAATAATAGACTAATGGAAACAATAAGTTGTGAAATGGCAAAGCATAATTGTGTGCTAACGTGGCCTGAACCCTGTTGTGCAGACCCAAAAGTTACTTTGCATCCTTCAGCTACTTTGTCTGAGCAGAAGCGATCAGTATCTAGAGTGATCAAGACATGGAATAAAAATGTTTCCACAGCGTTTTCACATAGCATATCTAAGTACAAAGCAATTAAATGTCAAGTAAGTGCAGAGGTGTGGGAAGCCATTAGAAATGGCTTTACCCACGGTGAGTATCTGATAGTCCCATGTATTTCCAAGGACTTACTTGTTCTAGTAGGTGAAAAAGAAGTTGTGAAGAACGCTGAACAAGAGCTGACCCTTCTGATGGAAAAGGCCACCAGAGAAATTGAAAGAGAAAAAAAAAGAACTGAAGAAATAGTGTTGGTGAGTCCAGGGGAATATGCAATTTTACAGAGTACTGGCCTTGAAAAAAGTCATATGGAGTTCCCAGCCCTTCAGATAAATTATGATCCTCTGCAGAAGATAATTAACTTATGTGGAATGCCCGAGGAAGTTTATAAAGTAAAAGGGGAAATATTAGAGAATATACACAAAATGGTAAAGAAAACTATTAATGTCCACCCTTATATTTTCCAGTTTTTAGAGCATATTGATAATGAAACCCTGTCACAAAGCCTGTTCATGACAAAACAAATTAGTGCCTTTTATGAGCTTTGCCCAGATGCTATCATCTTGAAAGGGAATGCTCCTGAAGATCTCCTAAAAGCAGAAGAAGAAATAAAGAAGGAACTGGTCTACAAAAGCATTACATTGGAGGATGAGTCAGTCCTCCAGAAGCAGGAATGGAGAATGCTCACTAAAGAAAACTGCTCTAATGAAGCTGTAACAGTCACTCAGGCACAGGGTCAGGTCATTATTGCTGGTTGTTCTCAAGCAGTAGAAAAAGCCTTTGAGGAACTTTTTAGCTTTATAGATAAAAACACCCAAGTACAAAAGTTCATCGTAGGAAAGCCCATGGCAGTCGTAATCTTTTTTGAAAAAGAGAAGACCAGTGTTTGGGGTGAGTTACAGAATAAAGATGTGAAAGTTGATTTTATCACACAGAGGAAATGTAGAGTTATATCCTTGAGTGGGCCAAGAAAAGAAGTGCTGAAGGGAGTCACCTTAGTTGAAGAAATTCTGTCTGGCTTGCATTATAAACGTGTGGTAATTAGAGAGCCAGGAGCCAAGTCATATTTCAAGGAGCGAGAACACTTCTTTGCTGCCAGTGCGAAACAAGACTTTGAGTGTCTAGTGAGGCTGGAAGAGCAGTCAGAAGAGCAGCTGGAAGAACAGCAAGGACATAGTAATGTAGGTAAACCCTATGGGCAGGTGACCATAGGTGGAGTTGTAGTAGCAGTTTATAAAGGTGACTTGTGCACTCATCCTGTTGATGTTGTGGTAAATGCCTCTAATGAAGACCTAAAACACAAGGGTGGTGTTGCTTGGGCGCTGTTAGAAGCCGCTGGTCCAGAGATACAGGAGGAGTGTGATGAGCTGGTGAAGAAGAGCGGGAGCTTGCAGCCTGGGTGTGTGGTTATCACGGGTGCAGGGAAACTCCCCTGCAAGAACATAATTCATGCTGTTGGGCCCAGGTGGAGGAAGGATGAAGCAGAACAGTGTGTGTGCTTGTTGAGACAGACAGTGAAGAGAAGTCTACAACTGGCTGAAACGTTTCATCATCGTTCTATAGCTCTGCCCGCTATAAGTGGAGGGATTTTTGGCTTCCCACTGGAACTGTGTACGTATTCGATTGTAGCCTCCATTAAGGAGACTTTGAAGGAATCCAAGGGGGACATCAGCTTGAAGGAGATCCATCTTGTGGATATTGAACAGAATAAGATTCAGGCTTTCAGCAAGGCACTGGGAGAAGTGTTTTCAGATTATCCACCTTTCAACACTTCACTGCATCAGACCAGTACAGTTCATCAGCCTAGGAAAAGGAAAATTTCTCAAAATAACAAGAACTTCCCATTGGTAACCACTGAGGAAGGCCTTGACATCATGCTGAAAGAAGGAAGAATTGAAGAAGCTACAGTAAGTGTTTTAAATTACCTGCTCTTAAAGTATTAAGCTTCTCCTTTTTCTCTAAACCAGCCACACATGTGAGGTCCTGCTTACCTCAGTGACTGATGTGCAAGTTTCTCCTGGAGAGCAAACTTGCATAAACATTTTCCAAATGGAAGCAGAATGAGTAGACCAGGGATGCAGATTTTTCACTTTCTCCCATTGGTTTGAAATGTATTTCACTGTTAACTCAGCTTTTGCGTACTTTGGGCAGGTTTGTGATGCTAGAATTGAGCATAATTTCTTTGCTCATCTCAGATAGCAGTCCCAAAACTTTACTTTGTAAATCAGCAGGAAGACTGTGCTAGATTCATCAGTGCAAGATTTGAATTTTATACTTATAAACTAGAGGTTTTGCTTGTGTGTTTTTCAGACGGACATTGTTGTCATCAGTGTTGCCAAAGATCTCCAGCTTGATAAAGGGCCCCTCTCCAAAGCTTTGCTAAGCAAGGCAGGGCCAATGCTTCAGAAAGGCTTAAAAGAAGAAGGCCTACAAAAAACACCTGAGGAAGGTTCTGTGTTGAAAACAAAAGGTTACAATCTAAGTTGCAGTGTTGTGCTTCATGCTGTTGTACCTGCGTGGTTACAGGGATACGCATCTACAAAGGTATAAGGGGTTTTATTTGCCTGAATTCTGACAGGCCTTTATACTGGGTTTAATGCCCCTTTTTATTTGAAATGCGGGGGAGTGTCAAAGAAGGTGGAAGAGTTTGGCCTATTCTTTCTTTACTGTGTGTCTGACCCTTTGTTTACTAATATATTCCTTGTCATGTATGCAATTGCTGTATTTTAATACCAAGAGGTAGCTAAAGGGGGTGAGCTACATTGCATGTACTAGAAAGAAAAAAATGACTTTCAGTAACTGAAAAAATAATTGTGCTTTACAGATCTTGGGTGACATCATCACAAAATGCCTGGAAATTGCTGAGGAACTATCTTTAAAGTCAATTACTTTCCCAGCGATTGGAACAGGGAATTTGGGATTCCCCAGGTCTGTTGTTGCTAAATTACTGTTTGACAAGGTGTTTGAATTCAGTAGTAAAAATGGAGGAAGTTATCTTGAGGAAGTTCACTTTCTGTTGCATCCAAAAGACATAGCTAATATTCAGGTGAGTTACCATATATTTCTGTCTCTGTTATATGCAAGTTTATTAGGGTTCTATCTCGTGATACTTGGCTGTCCGATAATCTCCAAAGAATCCACAGGGTGCTTGGACTTATACTAAAGAAGTTTGCTGGCAATCTCTTTCTTGTGTGTACTGAAAGTCCTTTTTTCCATTAATGGTCACCTCCCTGTCCTGTACAGCCCTATTCCCTTCCCATCCCATCCTTTTCTGTTTCCTGGTAATAATACAGATGAACATGTAAGTGCCTTCGTCTCTTGTCTAATTCTTCAGTACCAAGGACTTGCCTACAAATGAATTTGCTGCAACTCCTGCATAGCCGCCTTCACTCTTGGAAAGAGGAGTGCTTTCAATGGAGTACTAGTGTCTTTTTAGGAAGAATAATGTTGCTAGGATTGCTGTGCTGTAAACATCTCCTGTAGAAACGTATCAGTATTCCATACCCCCCTTTCTTCATTATCATGTTAGCACAAATTTTTTATATCTGCACTGAAGTTACTCATTTCACACACACATCTCTCAAAATAGAGTAGACCCCCTGTGAATTACTGCCCAAATAAATGTTTCTGCATCTCTTGACTTCTGCTGTTTTGTGCAGTAGCTAATACATTTTGAAAGGCCAGACTGGAAGCTTACTGCACCAAAGTCTGAGCTATTGTGCACAGAGAAGGGTGGTATTAGCTGCAAGATTTGAACTGGAGTGTAAACTAGGCCACTGGTGTAAGGGTGCCATCTGTTAATGTATCCCTCTGGAATGGTAACTAGGGCTTTGGCTTAGTTATTTATCAATTATGTCTGTTGCTCACACTGACTAACCTTGCTCTCTGAGAAAAACTGTGTGTCAAGACTTGCCATGAGCATCTAGGCATATGGTATGAAGTAATTTGCATTAAGCTCTTCCTAAATATGTGTGGGTTTTTTTAACTTTAGACAGTAGAAATAAAGGTTTGAAAAGTAATCTAAGGACTTCTGCAGGGGTGGATTGTCATTTCCTTCTCTAGGAATTCTCAGATGAACTTAAGAACAGGTGTGGAAATGCTGTAGATGCTACAGTGCAGAAGACTTCTCCAAGTAAGACTAGCCAAGATACAGGTAAGCTTGCTTCACAGAAGTTGCATGCCTGCTGGATATTTTTATTCTTTTAAATATTCCAGGGAAGGTGTTCATTAGGGATGTTTAGATATTTGTTTGGTGGGCATGTCATTCCCAAAGTCCAAGTACCAGTTGAAATGGCTGCTGAAAAGACAGCATATAGTATTTTCAGACTGAGCGTCTCTGTAATGTCAAACAGTGTTGTAGGTGCTAAGGAAAAAAAAGGTACCTGTGATTCATTACCTGGCTAGTGCCCCTACAGCAGAAGTTATCATGTGCTAAGGGCACAAGTAGGGCTGTTTCTTTTATTGCTGCAGTACTTGATTAGATCATGAACAGGTCAGTGTCTTCCTATGTCCTGGGAAGGCAGGTGAGTTCCTGGTTATGTCTTAAGTGGCCTCTTTGGAATACTCTAAAATCTTTTACATGTTCAGATGAATAGCAAAACCAAAGTGAAACGTCTTTGGTGTTATCCAGCCTAATGGAACTGTGGAGTGTAGGACATGGTTGAAAACTCAATCCAGTTTTTACAAATAACGCGTAGGTAAAAAGTTCCCGTCACACAGTAGAGAACCTGCCTGAAAACTCTGTGAGACAGAGGAGCAAGGGAGTGAGACTTGGCGAGTTTGCTGCTCTCTTACCTTGGAGTTTTGCAAAGGTTTATACAGTAAAATGTTGCAAGGTAGTGTCTGTATACCAGGTGTGAAGTGAAACAAGTTTTTCTGCCATCTCAGCATGAATAGCAATGATGGGAATAGATGAAGGTTGATAACAGACTCCTGTGAGAAAGAATGATCTTCAGTTAACACGGCAAGCAGTCTTCTTCACAGGCTGAATGTGGAGCCAGACTGTGGTCTCTGTAGGCATTGTGCCCATGAACAAGTGCCTCATCTCTTACTTCATTGCTCCCTTCTGCTCTCTTTCTTTCCGGCAGCTTTCCCTGGTACCTCTTCAATGCCAGCACAGAATGTACATGAAATGACTATTGGCTCCATCATGTTCCAGGTGGCAGAAGGTGATATTACCAAAGAAGAGGGAGATGTTATTGTAAACATAACAAACCAAACCTTCAACCTTAAAATAGGTACTTTAGTTGACTTATGTATGAAAACAGTGCATGTAGTTGGAAGGGCTGGATAAGGAGAGTAAGAAGTATTCTTCCCCCTTCTTCCCTTCTCTCCCCCCAGTGTTTCAACCCCTTTTGTTTCACAGTGTGGTTTCTGCTTTGCTTCTTGGGGTACAGAGGTTCAATTAGGAAGTGTCTGAAACTTCCATTTTCTTGTTAATCTGTGTTACAGGATGGCATGGTTAAGACTCTTGAGGAAAGGGAACCTCATAATTTTTGTTTTATGTAATCATTTCATAGAACGTCTGTCAGACTAAAGGAGAAGATAAAACTCAGTGACATTTTGACCTCAGAGAAACTTGTTAGGTACTTTAGACATCACTGAATTGAAAAGCATAAGCCTAATATTTAGGCTGCTTTTTGTTTATAACCTTTATTGTTATCAGGATTGAGATATTTTAGATACTATGTGGTACGCAGTTCTACCTCAGATGGGACTTTATGGCATTAACAGTAGTAACTGTGGATTCATATGCCTCTTCTCATTCAAGGTGTCTCTAGAGCAATCCTGAACGGTGCTGGAAAAGCAGTTGAGGATGAATGTGCCCAACTAGGTATAGTACATTTCTGACCTCCTTCCTGAAAGTGTTCATGTATGGCAGGAATCCGTTGGAATACTTTCTCGGTGCCTACTCTACATCCATCTGTCCTATGCACTGTGTTACATCAGCTGGTTTTAATCAGTTAATGTGATACTTGTAAAACGTCTAATGAGGGAAGTAAAAGAAACGTCTTGAAGAGAGGGCTTCTGAGCATCTATAAAGAACTAAATGTATTCATTATTGCATCCTGTTATTCCAATAAAGCTTTCCATGATAAAAACAGATTGAATCTACTTCAAACAGAGCTATGACCAAGGATGATGTTGACAGAAGGGTTAATAGAGAAGCCGTACCCCACTGGAAGCAACTCCTTTAAGCCAACAGCAAATCACAAAAACATCCTGTATATGACCAAGGGGCAAAACTGGGGAAGTTGGGTTCCTGACTCAGAAGAGGCATTTATTTTAAACCAAATACAGCTAGAACAGCAGATGTAATGAATGGGGGGTAAGGATGGACAAGTGTGTGGCCCTCAAAATAAGGGCAGTGGGGGATGCTGGCGTGGAGGTCAGCTTGGAAGACCAAAGAAAAAGAACTACTTGAAGGAGATAAGAGGTAAATCTCTGTTGTACTTGCCAGGCAGGTAACTCACATTGAGTAATGTGAAGGTAGATGGCATGCTTATGTGTGCATGAAGACAAAGCACAGTACTAGTCTGTAGGAAGTTCTCAAAGACTGCAGAGCAAACTTGACAAGTAAAGGCGCACACAAAATTAATTCACCAAATGAGGCAAATGTTTTGCAAACATAAAATAAATCCTTGTGCCTTGAAAGTGAAAATAGAGAGAGGAGGATGCACAGTTTGTGGAAGGAGACTTGAAGCTTACTCTGGGGAGTATTTGTCATGATTTATCATGTCCTAATGAGGATTAGTACACATCTATATTGTGGATAATTGTTGACTGATTATGTTCTCCTACTTAATGTTTCAGCTTCACAAGCTAACAAGAGCTATATCACCACCCAAGCAGGAAGGCTGCCATGCAAAAAAATAATTCATTTTGTTGCCCAAGATGATATCAAGATGCTAGTCTCCACAGTGCTTCAGGCGTGTGAATATCAGCAGTACACCTCTGTTGCCTTCCCAGCAATAGGAACAGGTCTTTATCTCCTTTTTGAAGTGGGTTTAGTGTGTGTGATTCTGCTGATCTCAGGGTTCAAGTGATGAAATTGATTTATCTGGAGGGGTTATTCTTTGTGAAAATATATTCAGAAACCGCAGACTTTAAAACTGCTAGAAGTTCATAAAGACCTAGAGAGGTTCACTCCTTGCAGTCAGCTGGTATGTGAAGAGTATGAGTGCTCTAGATCCAACATGTTCTTGCTAACAGGAATTAAAAAGTATGTCTATACTTCCTGGAGCACCGTAAGTATATGTCACAGCAGCCTAATACATGTGGGCAGCTCATCTGAGAATATCCAGGAAACTACTTCTCCATGGCTGAAATCAGTAGATAATGCAGCTCTGGCTAGCAGCCGCACAGGTAGGGTTCTTATGGATGGAATGTGAACCTGTCAGAAAGGCCAGATTGTCCCTTTTTTTTCTCTTGTAATTTTTACTTCAGTAGAAATCTTTAGTCAGGTAATCCAGAACTAGGCCCCATGCATGCAGGGACCTCTTCCATGGATAAAACTAGACTTGCTTTTTGAGCAAAGAGTTTGCCACTGGGCCATTGAGCATAAGGCCCGTGGCCTATGAGGTAACCAAGCCATACCATCTACATCATAACCTGATCAGTTGCCATGTCAGCAACAGTAAGCTTTCATGTTTCGGTTCCTGGAAAGATGTCTCAGATCTCCTTTCCTTTTCCAAACTGGTAGCCTGCAGTTATTTCTGATATATTTATGATCCAGGTGATTGTGGTATGTTCATAACTTCTTCTAGAGATGTTTTAACAATTTGTAACAGTTCTTAGTGTTTTTTAAAGGCAAAATGCTTATTGACTCATTTCAGGCCAGGCAGGCCGTGATGCAGCTGCAGTTGCTGAAGACATGCTAGATGCAGTAACTGACTTTGCAAGAAGTAACTCTGCTCCATATGTGAGAACTGTTAAAGTTGTCATCTTTCAGCCACATCTGCTCAGTGTGTTTCATACAAGCATGCAGAAAAGAGAAAATTCTGCTAAAACAGCAGCCAAATTACAGCTTTCCAAGTTAAAGTGTAAGTAAATGTCATTTAAATACATATTATAGATCAATCTGTTTAGCACCAGCTGATAATGGTTAATACTAATTACTTGTGTATTTCAATGTAGCATTCCAGAGCTCTGAGAATCTTTCCCCAAATGGAAAAGCCAAAGCAGTTTCAAGGAAGAAAATCGAGCTGGCTGTTGTGCAGATTTGTGGTGAAAGCAAAAAGAAAGTGGAAGAAACTGAAGACTGGTTGAGAAGTGCAATCTTAAAGGAACAGTTTCAGGCAGAAATCACAGATGAGTTTATCTCTGATTTCGCTGAAGAACAGAGTGAGGAACTGCGTGACCTAGAAAATAAATTAAGAATTGCTCTTTATTTGGATGGTACCTCTATTCGAATTTCAGGTGTTGCAAAAGATGTCTGGATTGCTTATTCGACTATTCAAGACATGATCTACAGAGTAAAAAATGCTAAACTGCAAGAGAGCAGCGCAGAACTTCTTAAAAGCATAATTGAGTGGAAATATTATGAAAATGATTCCTATGTGCCCTTTGACCATCTCACAAATACGCGCTTGGAAAACGCTTTCCTAGCAAAGGAGAAAGATATTTCAGTCATCATTAATGAGAAAAAATACACAGTGAATTTAGAAGCTAAACATGTTGTGGATGACCAGGGAAAATGTACACCCATTATACGTGTTGATAAATGTAAGTAAAAGTATCTTGGCAGACTGACGTTCCCTCAGAGTAAGAAATGGTAAGAATAGGCAAAATGTTGTTAGTTCTGTGCAGGTCTGTTTCTGGAGAATGCAGAAGGGACCTGAATTGGGAATGAAAATAAAAGAATGCTGCAGTTACTTATTTTTATTTTTTTAAGTGTAGGTAGTGCATTCTGAGGTTCTTAACAGGCTTATTGGCAGTAGTTAGATGTTTATAGCAGTGATCATTCTAGATCTCAGCTGACTTCTGAGTTCTTGAGATGTATCTTCTTCCCTTTACTTCTGGTCCTTTCCAATAGAAAGAGCTACCTTTTTCTTACTCATCCATACAGGACTTTACCCAATATTATTTTTCTTTGTCCTGACATGACTCAGTTTTACAGGGGCGCATTTTATATCTTAATGGGAACAACATTTTTGTCCACTTAACCCTTAAAAGTGGATGGGTTTAAATAACAGTGCAGCCCCCAGTGCTTTAGTAATGCCTCCTGCACGTATTTTCAGATTTTTATTGTTTGTTCTTTTACCAAGAAATGTCACTTCTAATTGAAGAAACCTATAAGGCTGGATGTCTGCAACATATGCATCAGTCAGTGTTACTATTTAACAATATAGCTAATTAGTAGGCCTCACATGAAATGAAAAAAGGGACGAAAGGAAGATAGTCTTCTCCATTTAAAAGCCTTCTGCTTTTCAGATGGAGGGTATATTCTTGAACTTTTTAATTTAAATCCTTCCTTGTTCAGATTCTTTGCTTCTAGTCTCTTAGCTGATGAGAATTAACTACTCAGTAAATCTGCGTTTTCTCCTTATACTTGAAAACTTGATTTGCAGGGAAAGCTACCAGTAAAAGCTGTTGCAGAGAATTCCTCTTCACCTGTGAAGAACAGACTTGTCTAGGAACTACTTAATCAAGCACATCAGTTGCCAGTGCAGTGGCAAACTAGAAACTACAATGCCCTAATCCTCTAGTAAAAGACCTATGGAATGCTTCTGGCTGACAAAGAGCAATAGGCACTAGTGATAAACTAGATCTATGGGCGTTTAGAAGGGTTTGTAGTAGGGCATGTTTCATTTTAAGCAGAGAATTTGGGCAAATATGCTTTATGTTTCTTCTGCAGGTCAAGAGTCAATTGTACTCCCTGCAACATGGGATGATATGGAAAACCAGCGACTCAAAATAGTGGAACTAAGACCAGAAACAAGAGAATATAAAAATGTGCAGAAAAGGTTTCTGGAGACCTGTGAGTCGTTTAAAATTGAAAAGGTAAAATCCTGTCGTCGTGTCTGAGCAGAAATGGTTTTGATAGCAATGACGAAGAATACTAACAATGGGAAAATAAATTCCACTGGGATTTCTGAAGCTGTACAAGTCTTTATGGCTGTCAGTAATTTTAATCAGCATCAGTTTAATGTTGCGGTTGAGATATTTGGAACAACTTCTAAGCTATTAATCCTCCAGCACCAAGGGAGTGTGCTCTTCCCTTAAACTGTTTTTGCTATAGTAGAGCAGAGCAATTGCTTGCTTAAGCCATGTCTGCTTTGCAGGTAGGCATGGCATCTCTACCCCAGAAACCTGCAAATCTTTCCTATGTTTTTTTCCCATGGAGTGTTTTTATCATGTCTAGAGCTGGGTTCTGCTGTCAATCATGCCAGAGTTTGAAGTGACTTGACTAACTTATTTCATAGTTGATATATATGCATTGGATCTAAAAGTAGAATCTTGGAAGCAGACAGAATTGTTGATATACACTCATGTTTTTTGATGATGGCAACCTTCTTTCTTTCTGTTTTGCTCTCAAATTCTGCAGATTGAAAGGGTACAGAACCTATATTTGTGGAAGGCCTACCAAATAAAAAAGTGTGAAATGGATAACAAAAATGGCAACAAAAATAATGAGAGGCATCTGTTTCATGGGACAAGTAAGGATTCATTAACTTTAATTAACAACGGCGGATTTAACCGGAGCTATGCTGGAATGCACGGTAATGTGAATTTCAAAACAACTCTCATTTTCCTGAATAGAATCATTGAATGGTTTGGGTTGGAAAGGACCTTAAGTTCACCTAGTTCCAGTCCCTCTTCCATAGGGAGGCACACCTTCCACTAGACCAGGTTGCACAAGCCCCATCCAACCTGGCCTTGAATGCTGGCAGGGATGGAGCATTCAGAACTTCCTTGGGCAACCTGTTCCAGTGCATCACTTCCTTCACAGTAAAGAACTTCTTCCTTGTATCTAACCTAAACTTCTCCTCTTTAAGTTTGAACCCATTTTAATATCTCCCTATTGGAAATAAAAAGCAAAACTGTCAGGAGGTTCATATGCTCTGAAGATGGCAGGTGAATGATTGCTGCTAATGAAATGCTCACAAACATTGGTTTTCCTGACTACAGGTGCACACTTTGGAAATGGAACATACTTCGCCGTTAAGGCCAGCTATTCTGCCAATGCCAGGTACTCTACACCAGATATGGATGGGAAGAAGTACATGTACTTGGCTCGAGTCCTTGTTGGAGAATATTCTCAGGGGAGAAAAGGATCAATTCTTCCAGCAGCAAAAAAAGCTAGTGACTCTACAGATCGGTTTGACAGTTCAACTGATGATGTGAAGCAGCCATCCATTTTCGTCATATTTCATGATGCTCAAGCTTATCCAGAATACCTTATCACTTTCACTGCATAAGCATTTTGATTGCAGCCATCATTTCTGGTCTTTCAATCTTTCCTGGGATCTAAACACTTTTATAACAAAATATACAGTGAAAAGAACAAGTAGTTTTAACAAATCAATTTCTTACAGCTTATTTACATTTAAGTAACCTCTGTCAATTTTTGATACACTGAAAGACTGCTTGTTTACACTCGGTGTAGCTATTTAACATATTTAACATGAGAGCTCGATATTCTACTGAAAACGGCTGTTAGGTTACATATCAATCCTTTATCCCATATTAGCCTTTCCATTCAGCCATATGGCCATCCAAGTTGCACTACGCAGTGGGGAGTGCTGATGAGGGAGTGAAAGGGATCTTCTTTCAGTGTTGCATTTCTGATGTCTTCTTGCACTCTGTGACAGTCTGCATTGTAAATTCTGATACAGTGGTTTTCAGTATGTGAACTAGTTGTAGTTAATGGCTTGTGTTTGTCTAGAGCTCTCTGAACACTTACTATGGGTTTTCAACCAGTGACCTTCAATGAACTTGATGGTTCAAAGACCCAGTTGCATGTTTTTAATACAGTAACCCTCTCTGGCAGGGTAAAAAGTGGTTCTACAGAAAGTGATAGACGTTGCCTGAGTATTTAGCCTGAGAGAGACAGGAAGGTAAATCTTGAGACGGTGTTTCTGTTGTCCTATACCAGCTGCAGCCACCTTCCTGTGATCTTAAGGATAAATTAATAAAGCAAAGAAAAGCACAGAGGGGTGGGGGAGTTAAGGCTTACAGCAGTGTGTTGTCTCAGAGGAGTAAGTATTAAACAAGCCAAAGTTCAGAGTCTGGTATTTGTGTTGTCCCATGCTGCTCCCAACATGGGAGCTGAAGCAACATCATCTTTGTAGCATGTTGACAGAGTAAAAAAAATAAACCTCTTGCAGCCTTAGATGTAAGATCTTCCAGTGAAAAAGCAGAGTGATGCAGCCCCTCCATGTTCTAAAAACCTTTGACTCCTCCAAACGAATCAGGTTTGACTTCTTTTGTTGGATAATTAAGATAAAATCCCCCACTACTTGCTTTATGTAGGTAGATTGCTATTACTTTGAAGTTCTAAGGTGAATTAGTGTGTCCAGGTGAGCAGTAAACATTGCCAAGGCGTGTTTTCCAGGGAAGGTGGTGTGAAATAATGTGAACCCGAAAGTATCGTGGCAGAGCCACCACCATCAGGCTGCTCCTTCACACTCCACCCCAGTGCTCCCTATGCAACGACACCGGAACCACTTAGGGCTTTATTGTGTTAGATTGTGTCAGTTTTTTAACTGCTGGAAAATGCTGACTCTTGAATTCCTAGTGCTTGATCTGGGTGTGGGGGGCAAGTGTCTTAAGTTTTGCTTTGAAAATGAACAAACTTAGTCAATCCCTGTGACAAATAGCTGCAGCCACTGGTTCATCAATGTGACAGGAACCAGAGGTGATGGCTCTGGGTGCTGCATGGCAGCAGATGGGTTACCTGCAGCAGTCAGGGCTTTCTCCGCAGAGGGTAGTAACGCATCTGTCCTCAGCCTCTGCATGACCACCAGGGTGTTTTTTCACCAGCACTTGCGTTACAGGTGCTTAGGGAATCAAGCGCGGAGCAGAAACTGCAGCACCGGGCTGTGTGCAGGTTACGGGTAGAGGATGCTGCTTCCCCAAATAAGTTTACCATAACCGAAAGGCAAAGCGGGAGGCAGAACAAAGGGATGACCTTGTTGGCTGCTAGCTCCCAGCACGAGCAGAGGGAGGGCATTTTCGTAGCGTGAGGGGGGTGCCCGGGGCGGCTTTGGGTGGTTTAGGAACTTCTGTCGGGGAACAGAACGTAAGGGCGCAGGGCCAAGCTGTGCCTGGCGGTGCGGGGAGGCGGCCTGGGGCAGGTGTGTCGCGGCAGACGACAGCGGAGAAGCCGGGACGGGCGGGAGCCCCGTCCAGGGGCAGAGCCCGCTCCTCGCCCCGCTCCGCGGCGTCCCGGGGCCCGCCGGCAGCCGCTGCCTGGCGGAAGCGGCCGCGCCCGAGCCCGCCAGCCCTTGCCAGGAAGCGAAACCGAAAGGTAGCGGGCACAGACAGGAGCCGGGCGGCCATGGCGGGGCAGCGGCCGGGCGGATTCCCGCTGCTGGTGCGCGGCGACTGGGGCTCCGCCGAGCCGCCCCGCGCCCTGAGGAGGACGCTGCTCCGTTACTTCCAGAGCCAGAAGCGCTCGGGCGGCGGCGAGTGCGAGCTGCGGGCCGGGACCGCGACCGGGCACCTCCTCGTCTGCTTCTTGCACCCCGAAGGTGAGCGGCGGGGCGGGGGCCGGTGCGAGGGGTCCGGCCGGGGCCGGGATGGCCGGGGCTCCTTCTGCCTTCTCCCGAGAAACGGGCTGGTGCTTGGGCTGCGGACGGAGCGAGCGTGAGCTGCGTTGTAACTCACGAGTCGTAACTTTCTGCAAGTTAAATTTATATATATGTAGTGACTTAATTATTGCATGTGAAGTGATACGTACTGTCTGGTGGTATGTCAATCTACAGTATATAATGTCTCATACACATCCCGTAATATACAATGTAGAATATGTAATACGTATTTGCTTACATGTACTTGCTTAAATTTGGTAGTACTAGCCTCTAGATTGCATTTTGAATAGCTCCAGGCTACAAGTTAATAAATATATCCCTGTGTATATATATACACATGTATGTATTAATTTTGACAGTGTTCTCTAGATTGCACTTGGAATAATGAAGTTTATGTGGGTATAACTTTATTATAGTGCAGGTATATATTAAAAATTACGTATAACTTGCATGTATTTATCAAAACTTCCAGCAAGGTGGAAAGCATTTAGCTGCGGCTGTGTGAAATGTGTGTGTGTACATGCATGTACATGCATGCGCATTAACATATTTATACACTTTTTTCCCCCTTTGCCTTATCATGCTTCCTGGTTGCTGACTCGCCCAGCAGGTAAGCTCAGGACAGACAGCCCAAAGCCCTTTTGACACTGGCAGGGCGAGGGTGTGCAAGGCATGGGGGCCAGTACCGGGGCACTTGTGCTGCAGCTTCCGTTCAGGGCTGCCCACCAGGGATCTGTAGTGCAGCTGAGCTTTGCATCTCTGGTGGGCTTTTTGCAGAAGGGACATCCTCTCCTGTACTGCTTCAGGAGGGAAGCTTTGCGTGTTCTTTATTAGCGTCATGAGATTAAAGCTCTTCTGTTTTGTGTGTGTGGGATGGCACGTGCGTCCTAATGTAATCGTGGAAAACTGCTGCATAATTTCAAGTCATATTTCCATTCAGGTTATCACTGGAGTTTTTTGCTTTTACTTAGTGAAGCAACGCGTTCTTGAGAGACAGTCTCATGAGCTGTATTTGGGAGAAAAAGGGAGAGTGAAGTTGGTTGTCACAGAGCCTGACACAGCACTAGCTGCTGAAGAGGAGGCGTTTGAAGAAAAATTAAGTCCCAAAAAGGTGAATAAAAATTGCAATCCTCGCCAGAGCTTTGCAGTAGTGGTGTGAGTGTCAAGTCAGTCACTGATGTCTTGTTTTATTTTAGGCTCTGGATGCCACGAGTAACCTTCAACGGCAAGGTAAAATGTTGTTATTATCACCCTTGTGCTGGTTCTTCCTAAAGCAAAAATGTTGGTGCTTTTCTCCACACACAGCTCCAGTTCCGTGGGGAGCTGTGCTGAAAGTTTCCGCGTTTGGCAGCCTGGCTCAGGTGATACAGGGCAAGATGTCTGGCCAGGGACACTGTAGACTGGATCACCAAGGGTGGAGTTCACTTTGCCAGGCCTAGACCACAAGCCTGATTTTTGCTTCTAAAAGAGCCTTTTTAACCAGAGGGACATCTCCAGAGATGGATTTAGTTCCCTTATCCTGCACAACTGCTCTAAGATCTGCATAGAAACATGTACATTGAAGGTCTGAAGCCCAGGCCTGGTGTAATTTTCCTCCCTGCAGTTAAAAGAGTCTAACTGCAAGAGTCTAAAGGCAAGAGGTGCATCTCCCCTTACTTCAGTGACTTCAGTTAGGTCTGCTTTCTGCAGTGCTATGCTAAGCCTTATGATTCAGAAAGCAATCTAGAAAGCAGTACTGCACACCCAAATATACCCACATCTGTAAAGAGTAAGCATTCAGCCCCAAGACAGACCTATTAATCAGGAAGTTCTTCACTAATTACCACCCTATCTTTTCCTTTCTCTATGAAGTTTTGTTTGGTGCTGGTTTGGATGGTTTTCCTCCTCTCAAATTCAGGTATTCAAAGTTGACACCTACTGGTTTTTAATTATACTAGAGAGGACCCTGAAAATCTACAGGTACTGCTCTTGGTCTCTTTGTTGGGTCAGCCTAGTTTTCAGGTTTGGCTGTTTTGTACTTTCTTCATTATGCATAGTGGAGTCGATGATTCCTGTTGGCAATCTAGAAATGAGTAACTGGCACCTTGCAGAGCTGTTGCTTCTGTGATTATTTCTCTTGTTTTCCTCTTGTCTGGCTTACGCTGCTGGGCCTTCAAAGGCAGCTGTGGTCTGTAAATGTTAGGGATTTGAAATCAGTTGTTGTGCCTTGGGAAAACTTGTACACCCAGTGAGCAGGCAGAGCCAGCCTTTTTGTGCTGCCACCTGCTCGAGGCTTCCCTGTCTCCATCCTTGGGGCTGCCCCCCACAGGCAGCCTGTTGGGCACTACCCCAGGATTTAGGGATTTTGGGGTGTTCTGAGCAAAAACAAGGAGAGACCTTGTTCTCCCCCCATCCCTGGTCAGGGGTGCAACTGGTCCACTGAGCTCCTCTTCCCTCAGTTCAGTGTTCTGTGCCACAGCAGGAGATGGTGGCCCTAAAGGTTCACACTGAGGGTTGTGAGCGCCAGGGCTCCATGTGATGCTCATCTCCCCACCATGCTGCAGGGATGTGCTGGTTACCAAAGTGAGAGGGGCTTATGTTCCTGGCTGTGCTCACTGGGGTGAGGAGCTGCCTTTCTTTGTGAGTCTTGAGCCATCTTGAGCTCCCTGTGGTGCCCTTTGGTCCCTCACCACCCTGATTGCTGCTTGCTGTGGCCTGTTGGACAGTTGTGTCACCACATGACACTTTCAGTTTGCTCAGGCATGCAGAGGAGGATGTTCCCATTCAGAGGTTCTTTCCTGCCTCCACCCTCACGTGTCCGCAAGGCTGGAGAATTGCCTTTCTCTGGCAGCCGCTGTACTTCCGGAGTGCTGGGGGGGCACCTCTGTTATATTGTCTATCTGAAAAATTTTGTTGCATCCCTGCCAGCCTTCTGTGCATGTGGGTTCTTCATGGCTGTAACGCTGCACTGATGGCAAGGCACGGTGGTCATCAGGAGGCTTTGCACTGAATTATGCAGAGCTACTGCTGGCCTGTGGTGCCTGCGAATGTCCCAAGCTACATTCAGGCTTTATTAGACCTGGGCTAAGAAACAGATGCAGAGGCTGAAGGGCCACTCACTAACCTTAGCAATGCC